TCTGAGGTGCGCCAGCATAGTGCCGCCTTGCACGATCATGGCCTTGTTTTTACAACTATTAGAGATACGGTTGATTCTCTTGATGCTCGTATGACTGCTCTCTCCGATTCTCAGTCTAGCATCTTTGAAGCTATAGCTGATCTTCGTGCTCGATCGGAAAGTCAGGCTGCTACAAATCAGACAATTCTCCAGTCTTTGGCCGATCTACACTCCAAGGTGGATGCACATACATAGATATCCAAGTTGTTCTTAGATAGAGATACAGAGTTATCTGTTGACTTGGTCCCAGTCAGTTCACAGAAGAGGACAGGGTTATGTTAGCAAATGTCAGTCGCCGTGTTGAGTCCGATTATGCTCTTCTTGGCGGTCTTCATCGCGGTATATCATGCCTGCTACGTGCCACAGGTGCTCCCATTACTCCCTCTTCTCGTGTTACTGCTTATGTGCCTTCCTCCATTGCCAATGTGGAAGGTCCTCCTGTTTCTGTTAGTGAGCCTTCCTCTGTTCCCACTGAGAGAGAGAAGACAGTTGACCCTACTATCAGTGAAAACGAGGACGACGACTCAGCTTCTACCTCTTCTACCTCTTCTTCCTCTGTTGAGTCAGACTGTGATGCTCCTATTGAGGGGGAGCTACTTGATCATGTTAATAGAGCTGTAGCACCTATTGAGGGGGAGCAACCGTGCTCTATGCCTTCATTATCTGTTGATGTTGGTACTATACCTTCTCAAGATGATATTCCCACTGCTTCTGGGAACTTAGTCCCAACTCACAGAGAAGGAAAGGCACCTATGACCTCAGATGAAGAAGCTGCTGCAGCTAAAGCAGCTAAAATTGCTAGATATCAATCTGAAGTCTCTTCAGCCGATAGACTTGTGCTTAAAGCTTCATGTCCTCAAGAAACTGATCTTCATATCCTAGGTATTTCTGCTGAGGATGCGGCCAAATCAGTTGCTCTTCAAAAGCAATTTGAGGAAGCCAACATATCTCACTCCTTGGTCCCACTATCTGAGTCTAAAGAAACCAAAGAGAAAAGAATTAAATAGTTTAATGACTCAATTCTCCGACGCTACATTACTACTCAAATTTTCAGTACCAGAATCAAAGGTCCTCAAAAATTGACCTATGATTCTAATCTGATCTATTTGATTATTGGTCGAGAAAACAGAGTAGTGAGGACATAAAAGTTATCTTGGATCAATGCCTACGGTCTTACTGAGTGGATGGAGATCATCAAGTTTCTTAATAAAAACAGAAGTATGTACAAGGATTTTGTCTTGAGTCATTTGTATCGCTTTCTGAAAAACATACAAATGATCAAGATGCATTACAAGTTGTCTTCCCCTCCACAACTCTCCTTTCTAAAGCAAATGTTAAGCAAAGCTGGCTCTTCTAAATCTGCTTCTACCTCGAAGTCCATCAAGAATCAAGACTCGTTTATTCAGAAATTATCAAAGGAAGGTAAGGCTCCTGATGTCTCACATCTTGATCTTACCCTTCCTTCAGATGATTGTCATCTGGAAGGAACTATCTTGTCCGCTCCTGAGCATGGAATATTCTTCTAGGACGCAAGTAGTTGCCTTCGATTTTTCCGAGCTTCTGAGATACCTATAGCTGATTCTCAGCTATTGCGCGTGATACTAAGTATAATCAAAATTGGTAAAGCCGGAAGAGTCTTTTATCTCGGATAAACTGAAGAGAAGAGATGTTCTTGCAGTGGCTGATTCAGATGTTATGGAAGTAGATGATGATTGCTAGCTTTTCTATGTGACTTCTTCTTCTTGAACTATCTTATTCACTGTAACTATTTAATTCATTGTCTAGTATAGATGCAATTGGTTTTTCCGTATTTACTTCAAAGTTTTTCATTTTTTATTTTATCTCTGATTCGTTATTTGTTTTGTATATATGTTTATAGTTAAAAAAACAAAAAAAAAAATTATTAAAAAAAGTCAAAAAAAATCGGAAAAAAAATCAAAAAAAAGGAAAAGAAAAGAACCCAAAAAGAATATGTACATGGGTCACAAAATTTATAAGTTCTTCTTCTCAAAGAATTTTAGAGTTTATGTTTCTTGTATTTATTTTTTTCTAAGTGTTTGTGCCATCATCAAATAGGGGGAGATTGTTGGGTCACCTATTGATTTGGTGATGACCCACTGATCTATTCCTCTACATTAGCAACACTTAGTAGTTATTGGTTCTTTGTATATTGGTGTCTTGGTACATACTTAAGCCATTAGCAAAATCGAAGACTAGTCGATGTGAAGACAGAAGGTCACCAATGCGGTGTTGTGGATCAACTGGCTAATATATACACCAAGACTCCAAAGTAGCTGAAATGAATATTGAAAATATTTTGATGCTACAAGACGATTGAAGGAAGATMTTCATAGACYGAAGATTGAAAATCTTCATGGASTCAAGATTGAAGATCATGGACCGAAGATTGAAAATCTTCATGGACCGAAGATTTGTGAGTAGCTGCTTGAAGCTACATATCCATCCAAAGAAGATCTTCCTACAGACTGACCATATCTCTGTAAAAGTTTGTCTCTGCATGAACAGTATTGTATGCACGTTGTGTACGATGAAAATGAGATATCAACAATGGTCAAGTCAACCCCTGTCTTCTTATCCTCAATGACAAGTGTCCCCATGCATTAAATGCTGAAGGTAGTATAAAAAGGCAGTGTGCATCTCCCATGCACACAACTGGCTTTTTGAAAAATTACTGAGTGAATTCTTAAGGCAATCGGCTATTCTCTTCTTCTCCCCTGCTCTCCTGTGTGCAAAGAAATTCTTAGTGTTCTTCATTTCCTTTCAAGAACTCTTTGTGTTGTTCTTGAAAGTTCTTCTCCTTGTAAGATAGTTTAGGTTAGGTTTTCCTTTCTTATCTTCTGCAACAATCTTTTGTATTTCTGTGTGTATTAATTCTTGATATAAATCAATAAGAATTAAAAAGTTAAAAAAAAATTTGTGTAATTGTATTCAATCCCCCCTTCTACAATTACTTTCTGTTTATTGTCATCCCCTTCGGGACTAACAGATTCATATTGGTTCACATGTTTTATTCTTTTGTGTTGCATATAAATATATTTTTCACATGCAAAACATTCTTTGTCATTTCATATATGAAACAACATTGTATAAACATTATATGTTTATGGATGAAATAACACATACAAACAGGTTCCCATTTGTAAGTTCCTATTTGATATGTCCTATACATATCTATATTATATTATAAAGCATTTGACAAAAACTCTTAAAACCCATTTTTTATGCATGAAGTACTGTATATTGATGCATATTACTTAAAATTCAAGATTATAAGTAATTATGCGTAAGTACAACTTATTAAAGCTTAATGTTTAAATTCGTGTAACTAACTGCGGATAAATATAATCAAATAGTGGATAAACATCTCATTTTAAAATATAAATAATCTAAAATATGATTAAGATAATTATCAATATCTAACAAAATAATTAATTATTATTTTTATAAGAAAATTATATTAT